TTTAAGATAACTTATGCATGACTTAAGCAAGCATGAATCATGTGATCAGTAAAGATATAATTATATCTTTATTTTAGCATAACATGTTTTATTTTACATGAAGGTATTGTTATGTTGCATGGGTTTCTATTATTAAGAACTGTAATTAGTGAGTGTTTGCAATATTCTATTCTTTTAGTATGTTCATTTAATAATGAAATTTCATTTCGTTCATTTAACTGAAATCTCTATAATTTCGAATGAATTAATAACGTTTGTAAGATGTTACTTTGTTGACTGTTATTAAAACTTCTTTTGCTTAAAATGCTATGACATCTTCTTAGAAGTGGTTAACGCGCAACAGGCGCTTCCATTAATTTAAAGACGACGTTGTGCTGGCCTTAACAACAACTGGTACAGTCAAGGTGTGGACTCTTCTTGGACATGAGAATCGAAACAGTGAACCCCTTTATGAACATGAAAGTAAACAGATACAGTGTCTTAATGCACTTGCGATGACCTGTTGCCCATATAATCAGAGGACTGTATTAATTGTGTGCTCTAAAGATTGGCAGGTACTTGTATTTATTACTGTCTTCTTGATTAGATTAAAATCACTTTGACTGGTATGTTGTTTCAATTAGATATACGATGCTGGTGATTTCTCCGTTTTATGTTCAATTTCTGCACCTCGTGGTGAACGTTGGATGGCTGGAGATTTCCTAGCTGCAGACAGAATCATTGTGTGGAGCGATGAAGGCCGTGGTTATCTATATAAATTACCAGCTAAGTATGTTTTTGAGAAAGTAATACTTCTCTTCTTTGTTATCCTATTTTTGAATCTTGAACATTTTATATTTTAATACTTTTATGAGATATTAAAATTTCATTGTTTTTTAATTAGTAGAAGAGCCTGTAAATAATTTATAACATGTTTATAAAGTATGTAACCATATTATATGTTGTTTAGTTATAAATTCATTGACCCATTTACTTAAAAGATCATTCATTTTTTACTTATAGGGTTCTGGTACATATTGACAGGTAGATGTTCTCAAA